TGTTCTTTAAAATACATAAATGCCTCCAGTAAAGCACATTAGATAAAAATTACTCTTAATTTAAAACACTCATCATTCATTGAACAGTATGGAATAATTTCATATTTAAAGTACTTTCAGAAGTTTGAGTTCTGAATATGACCGAACTTTTCCTTTAATGACGGCAGCATCAAGATGTTAATATTAAGTAATGTTTGACATAAAAAGCTGCCTGTTTCACCTGCAAATATAACTATTGAGAAATGAATATATGTCATTAAAGTGCAAATATTGTAGCTCTGATATCTTCTAAATGTTTTTCCATCATTATTTATTTATTTCATTGTTTTTTTTTTAAGACTTTTTGGTTTTGTGCTCATTGTTGGTTTTGACTTTCTGGTCTCTGCTGCGAACATATGGAACCTTCTGGAATAATAAAGTATTTCAATCAGTCAGTATAATAAAAACATTATATGTTTACTACTGAGAATGTTCCTGTGTTTCAAGAAGAACTGACAACTGGTTTACTGGAATGTAAAGCTTTGCTGCAGGAATCTGAGGGTTTTGGATCTAAGATGACAAACTTTACTGAGCTCCTAATGTAAAAACTTAACTTTCACCGTAACATTTATAATCATTTAGCGAGCGTTTTCACATTTAGTGCCTTTTTTGACAAAACTTTTTTGACAAACGCTAATTATAAATTTAAAATATATTTTAGCATCCTATATTCATATCTAAAACTTAAATATATATCTTTAATCTTAAATCAAAATTCCAAATCAATATTTAAATATGTCTAATTTATCTTTGCATTCAGTAACCTTCAATTGACTGCTCGGCTTTCCTTTTGCTCTTAAGCCTCTTTCCCACTGAAATTAGCGAGCTGATGTGGGCTTTCAAACATGGGTTGACCCGCTAACAATCGGCTCCCTTCCCATTTATAATAACAGGTGTCTGTTGACACCATCAACCAGGGTTAGCATTGATGATGCCACCATGATGCCAGCATAAATGTGGAAAGTAAACAATGGAGAACAACATGGAAGGAATCCAGGTCAAGGTCTGTCTGCTTTATTCTTTTGCTCTTTTATCTGTCTGAATCCTTCTCACTAGAGCTGCTCCATGTTTATCAAATGTAAACATGGTTGGTTTTTGGCTTGTTAAATTTTTTAGAAAAGATGTGGCTGGTGTGTAGTGTTGACATCCGTATGTTGGGCTCAGTGGTATCACGTGGTATCATCAATTAGCGGGTCGACTCAGGTCTGATATTTCCAGTCTAGGCCGACCGGAGCCGAGGCGATTGAAGGCGATTTTAAACCATGTCGCTTGCCAAGTCATTAGTCGTCCGTGAGCCGTTCCCCCTGCTACTAAAAGCCAATTGTTCCCCGGTTT